CTTTTGGTTCGTGGAATCTTAGATTTCGAAAGAAAGTGTGATCCCCAAAAAGAATACAATACTTGAGATTTTCTTCCATTTTTCAGGGCATTCTGTGTTTAGATTTACTCCTTTGGTTTAAAAAAATTCACATATATTAAATCTTAAATAATTACTATAATCTCTTTGACATATACGATGATAACTTAAATAATCAAGTTTTTTATCAAAAATGATTATTCAAGGCATTTTTTGTCAAAAAATGCCTTGAATAATCCTTACAAAAAATGAATGGGGTTATTCAAGGTATTTGTGGCAAAAAATGTCTTGAATAATCCCCTTCAATTTTTATGAAGGGATTATTGAAGGCGTTTATGGTAAAAACGTTTGACTAATTCCTAAACTTTAAACCTTAAACTTATAATAACTCATTTGGCTACTGGTTTTTTTTTTTCTTCTGATGATATCTCTTCAAAATTCTTTTTGTCACAAATTTTCTTTTTTAAAATATTTTGATCCATTTGATTCATTAAATTTATGGAAAAAAAGTTAGTATAATTATTTAAATATTAATCCATTGATTGATTTTCTATCAAGGGAATAAATATATTTTTTTTATTCAGTAAAAAAATCATAACTAAATATTTTGATGAAAGTTTGAAAATATATGCTTTTATATATTAAAAAAGATTTCATTTTTTGCTGTCACTTAATAGATAATACTTGAGAAATAAAAAAATTCAAAAGTTATCATACATATATTTGAAACATAGTATATCAATACTGAATCCATAAACAAATTTCCTAATAAATCATACTAAATATTCATTAAGCTTTGTTCCTAATTAGTACTTAGCACTTTTCTAATAATGGGAATGAAATCTAAAAAATTTCTTTGATAGTTTTACATTTCCATTTCTTATCCATAGATATCTAAAAAATTTGCTTTTTCCATTACAAAGGCTCGAGCAGACAAAAAGGGTTGTACTCCTCCTTGCTCCCATTCTCACAGATTTTTCACAAATTTCTTAATCAATGTTTTATATTTGGGATGCTTCATCCAAATCTAATGTAAAAGATTCTTTTGTATAGAGGTTAAAAGTATATCTTTCAACAATTGATATTTCTTCTCATTTTTCCTAATAAGCATACATCCAGACCATATCAATTCCCTAATCATGTGACTGACCTTGATAATGTGCTTCACAATATCATCATCATTTGGATCCATTCGATATTGTGATAATTTCTTCATCAATCTTATGTCTATAAAAAATGTGCCTTAGTTCTTATAACGATGGGAGTCTTAATGATAATTGTCATGATTTTCTGTAATACATTGATAAAAAAAAATGGTTTATTGATTTTTAATTAAAGAAAATTATTCAAAGTATTTTTGATCAGAAAATACATTGAATAATCCTTATAAAAAAATTGAATGGGTTATTCAAGACATTTGTTGGGCAAAAATGCCTTGAATAATCCCCTTAAATTTTATGAATTTAGGGTTTGAAATTTAAGGTTAGAAATTAGTTAAGGCATTTTTTGTCACAAAGGTCAAAAATACCTTCAATAATCTCTTTCAATTTTTATGAAGTGATTATTTAAGATATTTTTTGGGCAAAAACACCTTAAATAATCATCTCATAAAAATTGAAATGGATTATTGAAGATATTTTTGTCAAAAATTCCTTGAATAACCTTATTAAATTTTTTGTAAGGGATTATTCAAGGCATTTCTTATAAAAAAACGCATTGAATAATCCTAAAAAAATGGTAGGGGATTATTCAAGGCATATTTGGCAAAAAACGCCTTAAATAATTTTTTACAAAAAATTTAATGGAGGTTGTTCAAGGTGTTTTAAGGCATTTCTAACTAAAAACACCATGAATAATCTCCTGTCATTTTTTTTTTTTGGTTTATTCAAGGTGTTTTGGGCCAAAAACATCTTAAATAACCTTATTCAATTTTTTGTAAGGGATTATTGTAGGCGTTTTTCATGTCAAATGCCATATATAAACCGAATTTTTTACCAACAGAAACCTACAACTGACTTATCAAGGCTTCAAACAATAATATATATTTATTTATTTTAAGCAACTCATGAGTAACATGATTAAAGATTTATTACTTGTTTAACATGAAAAACATAATTTTTATTTTTATTTTTTTTGGCATAATGAAACATATAAAATATCTTTTTTGTGGGTACATGCACGAGAGAAACATATATAATACATATTTAGATTAATTGTCCCCAAATTTAGATGCATTAATATGTTACAATTTAATTTAAGTTTGTTATAGTAATTAAATCTCATGTTAATTGTAGATAAATTAAAAAAAAATTATTTTAAAATTGATTTTAAATTAAGAAAAAGTGATATACAGGATAAAAGAATTTCATTAGAATTTATATTGATTTTTTATTAAATTTTAAAATTTTAGATAATTTAATAAATTTTAAAATATATTTTTTATAAATAATTTAAAATTAATAAATATCTTATGTATCATCATAATGAAAAATTTTAGGATTTATCTTACGTATTGAAAAAGAAAATTATCCACCTAAATGCCACGTAAGCGTCCACGTCAGTGATTACTATATGATAATTATGTATGTTGGCAAAAATATATTGAATAATCATCATATAAAAATTGAAGTGGAATAATAAATGTGTTTTTGGTCAAAAAAGCCTTGAATAACCCTAAGGCATTTTCTAATAAAAAATGCATTGAATAATCTCAAAAAAAAAAAAAAGATAAGGGATTATTTAAGGCGTTTTTTGTCAAAAATATTTTGAATAATTTCTTGCCTTTTTTTTTTATTATTTAAGATATTTTTGACCAGAAATGTCTTAAATAATTCCATTCAATTTTTTGTAAGAGATTATTAAATGTATTTTTCATGCCAAATGCTATATATAAACTATATTTTTTACCAACAAAAACCTACAACTAACTTATCAAGGCTCCAAACAATAAAATATATTTATTTATTTAAGTAGCTCATGAATAACATGATTAAAGATTCATTACTTGTTTAACATGAAAAACATAAATTTTATTTTTAATTTTTTTGGCATAATGAAACATATAAAATATCTTTTTGTGGGTACATGCATGAGAGAAACATATATAATACATATTTAGATTAATTGTCCCCAAATTTAGATGCATTAATATGTTACAGTTTAATTTAAGTTTGTTATAGTAATTAAATACTCATGTTAATTGTAGATAAATTAGAAAAGGTAAATTATTTTAAAATTGATTTTAAAATTAAGATAAAGTGATATACATGATAAAAGAATTTTATTAGAATTTAAATTGATTTCTGATTAAATTTTAAAATTTTTTATAATTTAATAATTTTTAAAATATATTTTTATAAATAATTTAAAATTAATAAATATCTTATGTGTCATCATAATAAAAAGTTTTAAAATTTATCTTACGTATAAAAAAAAAACTATTTATATAAACCTGTACATCAGTAATTACTACATGATAATTATGTATATTATAATATTATATATATATTTATGATTTTTCCACAAGGTATAGAGATGAAAAACTTAATGCTTTTATTCTTTTGTAAAGCACTATTAGGAGTATTGTATTTCTTGGGCCATATTTTGCATATTATTTTCCAAAATGTCCAGCTTATTCCTTAAAAAAAATTTCTTTTTAGGGGTAATCTTATTCTATAATCTCTCATTACTCGTTTAAGTCAAACAAATTAAACCTATTTCTGATCGAAATAGTGCATTTATGATTGAACGATCACATGTACATTCACATGTTTGTAACTTTTCTGCTTTACTCAAGGAGGATTTGTTAGAGCAATAAAAAAACATTGGCAAAGTCAAGTTTTAGCTAACTTTGCCTTTTTTTTGGTTTTATAAAATGGGTTTTTATAGAGTATTTCTTAAACTTTGCAAAAAGATTAGGTTTGGTTGGAGTGGGATTAGCACTAGTAGCAGGAGGAATTGACAAAATAAGTTGCGTGAAACACTGACGAGAAGTGAAATTGGAGCCCTGGAAGGCATTGAGAATTGTGTCACTAAAAAGTTATGAGAAAAAGGACAATATAGGGAGGGAGTGTGGGGCCTCTCATCGGCTGGAATGAATATGCAGTAGCTGGTGGGAAAAAGGTGGCCCACCCGCTCTCTCAGATTCCCCTCGGCAATCTCTCCTAGATGGGATTAAACTAATGTGAATATTGCTTGCCTGTCATCTTACCTGTTGAAAGCTACAAGTATCAGAAACAGATGGTCCACAACTCATCTCTAAAAGGCACAGATATAATGATGCCTTTCTCAATCTTTCAGAGTAAAGAATTTAACTATACACTAATTACACTTGGTTCAAGTGTTACTTAATTTTCCATAGATATTTCATGTGTTAATAATGGCTTTTGCTAAGAAAGTGAGATGACAGAAAATCGTTTCAACCATCCTTTTTCGCTTAGCTTTTCTACCATTTATTACTGGGTTATATTCTTGAACCTGTCATCTAGCAGTGCAGCAGTCTCCATCTTCTTCAGATTAGGTCAATATCCTTGTATTTGGCTTGAATTACTTTCATGGTCATTGATTAATTTTGCAAAAAAGCAGAAGAGAAAACAAATTGAATGGACCAGTACATCACATGGAAGAAACATTTACTAAAATTTTCTTGGTTCACCTCAATCATTCTTCCCTTATCAAAGCACTAAAGATGAGGCTTGGACTGGGTCTGTGGTTTGAGATTAAAAAATGTGGGACTGGAGCAGTAGCTGTTCCGTCCAATGCTTAGATGATTTGCCAGAAAGGGCAAAAGAAGGCAGCATATTGGCATTAGTCTTGTCCCACTTAGATTTTGGATCAAGGACCCGTCGATTTTGTACTGCCTTCCCTTCCTAACACCATAAGAAATGATTCACCAAGCAACAACCTCCACGGCCCATCAGGGCCCAAAAATAGTCCAATACCCATGACCCATGGCCCTAAAAAAAGAGACATTTGTCTTTAATCAGCCACATTAATTATAAGAGTCCTATGGTTTTTAAACAAGAAACCGCCAGCAAGTCTCCAGCTAACGTTGTTAATTTCCAGAACAACAGCTGGTCAAGAAAAGAACCTAGAAAAGGAGATGAATTATTCCATTAGCGTTCATTCCAGTCCGTGCCTACAATGCTGCAACAAAACTCGAAATTTTTGCAACATGCAAACAACAATTATAGCAATTTTGATTTTCAGGATGAACATAATTTACAAAACCAAAAACTCAGTTTGAGAGCAAATATGAATGCTAGAGATGATCATCCTAGAGAAATTATCTTTGTTTTGCCACCTTTGCAGCACTATTTTTCTGATTCTTTCCTTTTCCAGCTCAAGGGTTTATAAACTAAATAGAATATATCTCAAGTTAAAATGTTACATTGTACATTAAAAAAATTAAAAATTAATTAAAAGCAAGAACTGATGGTATCATGGAAATTCAGAAAAGGATCCAGCACTAGATACAACAGTATGAGTGGAGAACCTCATCAATTGATATGCAGTTCCATTGGTGTGGTACAGGGAGCCAGAGTTTTTGCAGGCAAGTTCACTCCACCTCCTCTAAGGGATAATGAAGCGCCTTTTATTGAGCTGGCTCTGCTTACAAGATTTGAATCAAGAAATACGATTACAACTGTGATGTCATCGTGGAAATGCCGCCGTACACCTCGGTCAATCTTCTTCAAATCTGAGTATCTCATTTCTCTCTTTTTAGCAGCTTCCTGCAAGGCAGCTTTCACAAGCCTCCTAGCACTCCCCTGTAAGAAGTTAAGCACAAAACAATCAAATCACAATTACTCTTCTCCATGCACCTGTCCAGCAGGGTTCCATAATAATAATATAAGCGTGGCTGCATTAAAGGAATGATACATATGCATCCATCCATTGTACAAAAATTACAAAACACACATATGACATAAGAAAGAAAATAGGTGGCCTTGGTTGCTCAAGGCTCCATTCAATGATCTCTAAGCCTAGATTGTAAGTCTGGATTTACTTTTTGTTTTACATTTCATAAGCATATGTCACCATTCAATCATGGATCAATTTGTGCTAAAACTTCTAAAGCTAAGAAACAGCTAATGTAATCAAGAAAAACCAGGCTGCTCAAAGCAGCACTAGCAGTCTAGCAGAACTTAATAGAAGATCATGAAATGAAAATTAATGTCAAAATGAGTATTGATGTCACACTGAGTGAAGCAACATAGAAGTAATGATCTCAAAGCAGACACGAAAAAAAAGCTCAAATTGCATTAGGATGAGATTGCTTCAAGTTAACACGAAGTCACAACTAATTGAAAGAACGCATGCTTTCCCAATTTTGCCAATAGGCTCCATAAACCACAAATCATGCGGTTAATAAGTAGATTATAGACTTAATAGTACACCCACACTAAATTCTCGATTAACATAAGTATATCTTACATTGTGGGGATGATTTTGAACTATATCAACTGCATCCTGATTGCTGAGATGTTCCCAGAGCCCATCAGAAGCAAATATGATAAACTGATCATGAGGTTGGAATTCATGCACAGATATTGATGGTTCAGAGCTCAAAATTGGCTTTCTAAAAGGTTCAAGCAGACGAAACTTTTGATACAGAGGCTCCCTGTTGAATTCAGTTTTTTTAAGATAAACGTCACCTATAGATCTAGAAACCTGCAATGAAAAGGTTCTGTAAATGTCCTATGTATATAACAACCCTCAGCATCCCCCCCCCCCCAAAAAAAAAAAAAAAAACTATGATGATTAATGGAAAATAACTGAGCAACAAAATGAGTTAACAACCACAATATACAAATTCCTTTTAATTTAGCTTGCATATTTTAATATATTATAATGTTTCAACCAAATGAAAGCTCTAAAATCTAGATTTTCACATAAGGATGAAAAAGACACGACTTAAAAAAAGCAGATTTTCCTTGAGTAAGGATGTTATTATTTAATTCTTTTAATCCATTTATAGCTTTTTTTGGCGAAATCCATTTATAGCAGTCAATGATATCAAGAAAATGCAAGAAGATTCAAAATCATGACCTAACATTATTCTTTTTTTTTTGGCCTTTCGTACAGCGGATCCCAGAGTTATAGGATAAAGCTTAGTTTGTTGTTGTTGTTGTAATGATATCAAGAAAATATAAATTGCATAGACCCCTTCCTATGTCTATCACTTAAATCCAAGCAAAGAACTTACCTGTATCAGGCCCTTTACACGCCAAACTTTATGTTTTAAAACTACAATGTGCGAATCATCAGGATGCAAAGAATGCATCTCCTGCCTGACAGACTCTATTCCTACGTTATGTTCTGATGACAGCTGGATGGCAAGAACCTCTCCAGTTGCCTTGATAAGCCTTCCCAGCACAGCACGAGAATCACCAAGGTTAGCGATGTAAAGGGTCCCATTGCAAACAACACCAACCAGGCAGCATGATCCAACAGCTGCAATCTGGGGCTTCATAGGCCACTGTTTTGTAACGAGAGAGAAAAAACCATCTTCTGTTGCTTGATATGCTTTCTTTATGACATCCACAGACATTGATTGCTGCTCTGTGGCGAACCCTGCAAAATAATAATATCAACTGAGTCACTGTGGTACCAAGCTGATTCTCAACTTAAAAATTTTACATTAAAGGAACTTGAATTGTGAGTTTAATAGCTTATCATAGAGAGGGGAATAAATACAATCTATGCATAAGAAATCCCCTATGCCAATAATTATAATTGGTTTTAAGGTCACTTACTCTTTAAATGCTGGAACAGGTGATCATTGATATAACGCGATGTCTCAGGGCCACCATGACCGTCATATATTCCTACAAAGGTACCGTATGGACCAGACTCAAGAGTGCTCAAGGAGCCAGATTCAATCTGGCTCTGATCCTCAAGCAGATTGTTAGCCTGGACAACAGCCATGGAAAATTCACCATTCAAGTGCTGCCCACTGTCCTTGTACCAAAGGAGCCCATCTTGCCGGCCTGCTGCATCCGAACCTTTGTGGACATAAAGGTCCGAGGACGGTCGCCAGCAGGCCCTCAGAAAGTTGACCAACCTTGATAACATCCCTCATCTCACCCGGGCAAGCTTCCAATTCCTCCTAAACATCCCAAATTGGATGCAATATACCCACCAAAAACTAATACTTAATCAATAAACCCCCAACAAAGTCCTTCCCTGCACACTCAAAAAAATACACACACCTGTTAAAAAAAAAATCCAATTGAACAAATATAACTTCCAACTTATTATCAAATTGATCCCTTCACCCAAAAAAGGAGAACCCACATCCATTTCTGCCTAACATGAAAAATGGAAAGAAAAAAAAAGGATCCATAAGCTAATACTGCCAGTTAAGTAAATAAAAACAGTAGAAAGGACACAGGTTGTGGCTAAAAAGAAAAGTGAAGAAGATCAAAGTAGAGAAACTCAAATCCACTTTTACAATCCCACACTTGAACAAAACAATAAAAATGGTTAGACAATCAAAATTCTACAACAATAAATGCTCAATAAATATTCAGAGTTTAAATTTAAAGGAAGAGAACTAACTGGAAGGAAAAACATCAATCACAAATTACTATAAAAAAGATAAAAAAAAAAAAAAAAACTCACAATAGAATTAAGCTGCTTTGTACTGTTGAGTTTCCATCTACTGAATAATAGCAGATGAAAACGACGGAGATCTAAAAGAAACAGAGCAATACATGCGGGTTTTTTCAAGGGTTAGATCTATAGATCCATCAAATCAACACTCCAGATTGATAGGCCTTTTATATCCACTTTGGGTTTTTTGTTTTTCCTTTCTACACTCCTCCTTTCTCTCCTTTCTTTGTTGCAAGTAAAAGAGAAGAGGAAGATAGGAAAAGGAGAAAGAAAGTTATGACTCGGTGTAATAATGAACAAACTGAAATTGGTTTGGATTTGGGTGTTTGGTCTTCCTCAGTAGACAACGGCTTATAAAGGAAAACAAAATAAAGCTATAGCTGATAACCAGCAGTGCATATGGGCAGCCATGGGCTCCACATATATACATAACCAAAGAAAGAGAAAGTCGATAGAAAGAGAGAACAACTGGAGACTGAACCACCCCACCCTTTTTTATTGTTATTTGCTATCCAACCCCACTTTTCCAAGGGACTGTAAGTTGGGTCAATGAATTTTTTTTTGCTCCACCACTACTTCTGTGCTTATCCTATTGCACATTTGCTCTTCTTATCTTCGTGAATTTTAGTCTTTGATTTTCACCTCCATCACGTTTTAAAGCAATTTAATATTGAATTTTATACCTATTTATTTGTCAAGAAAAAACTTTCATTTTTTGTTTTGAATTTGACCCTAATTTTGTTAATTTCGATAAATGTAACTATATTGGAGCTTGAAATTTTATATATGATAGTAGTAATTTCGGTAAAAGTCTCATTTGATAGTAGTAATTTTTTTATGCCAATTAATTATTACTTGTGGATTGAGTAATGGGCATTGCACTTATTAGCATAATACTAAGGAATGAAGCATTAGCAATGTTTAAGAGGTTGAACGGATTTCTTTAAAAAAAAAATTAAAAATTGAACAGATTGGATGTTCGGTTTAATCGATCAATTCAATTAAAATATTAATTAAAATCTAAATGTATTGTTTTTTATTAAATATATTAACTATGATAATTATTTAACTAATAAATATATTTGATTTAAATAGTTACTACATTAACGAAGCTTTAAATTAGTAAAAAATTATATTTTATCGCTTATAAAATATTTTTTACAATTATAATTTAAATAATAACAATTAGTCAAATCCTATTAATATAATCCGATATTCGATTTAAACGAATTTTGATGATTTTTTTAACTATCCAGTTGTATCATTTTAAAAATGTAAATTAATTATAAGTTTTCAGTTCAACACCAATTCAATCAACCGACACGGTCAGGTTAATGAAAACATTGAATATTTACTATTATAAGATTGTAAATTCAATGTATTCAAATATATTAATTAATTTATATATCCATCAAAAGGATGACATAAGTGCACAGGTGTCCAACTCTTTGATGGCAAAGGCACACGTGTGCTGCATGTCAATAAGCAAGTGGCAAATATTGGGTGGATTTATATCATTGTCGGTTAAAAAAAAATGAAAATCGGGTCTCACCCTCACACGTGCCTGTGGGCTGTGGTCCTGGTGCTGATGCTGGTGCTGGTGTTAGTACTGACGGCACTGGCATCTCGCCGGAGGTAGTGTTTGGTTTTTAAAAATATGTTTTATTTTTTATTTTTATATTTTAAAATAGTTTTTTTTGTAATTTTTTTGAAAACGTATTTGGTTAATGAATATGAAAGATTATTTTTTTAAAATGATAATAATAAAAATGTTTTGATATATTAAAATATTTATATTTGATAATAATATATAATTGGGATCATCAAGTAGCTAACGAATTATGAAAAAATATATTCATGATAAAATAATATAAATTTATAAATTTACGGTGTATATCTTTATACAATTATTTTTTTCAAAGGATTCGAACTCGAGAGGAGAGTGAGATTCGTAAAAAGGAGTGCAACTCGTGTTTTCATCGTTTTATTTTATTTTTCTTATTTTGTTAAAAAAATAATGAAAATAAATATTTTTTATTCTCAAAATTGGCTAGGTTTTCATTTTCATTTTCTAAAAAATAATTTCTCTAAAAATTTACTAAATATGTTTTCTTTATTATTTTTTATTTTTCATAAAAATAGATATATTTTCTTAAACCAAACCTAAAATTAAAAATGAAAAACCTCATCCACCGGCCATCGCTCACTGGCAGCACAAAATCGAGGCAAGCTATCCAACTGGCGAAATCCAGCTATTCTTTTGACAGGTTGAGTTGATTTAAGAATATATTATATACTTGTTCAGAAATAATATAGCATACTTTATTAACATGAAATTTGAGCCTACGACTTTGGGATCTGCATTTGAATGGGTTAATGGATGGGTGGATTAAATTTTTATAAACTCAGCCGTCCAACAGAGGCCCTTCCTCACCCTGGTTTTAGCGAGGCAATTGCCCCTAATTAAGTCCAACGTGCCTCCGCATATGATAACATAACATTGTTGTTTTTTCTTTAAATCGTAACCGAGTATTTCGATGCATAAAGTTGGTAAAATCTTTGATATTTTAGTTCAAGTGATCATAGTTGAATTTTAAAAAAAAAAATGATGAAAACTTTTTATTTAAAAGAATTATTAAAAACACTTGAGTGAAGTTTTTAGATTTGAATTAATAGGATGAAATATTTTTCTTTAAAATATATTAAAAATAAAAAATTAATTAAAAATAAAATATGTATAAATTTCTTAATCCATTTGTAAAGTTAAAAAATTTTGGTATAATTTCTGTAAATTAAATTAAATAAATAAGAAGAGAAGGTGAAGAAAAGAAATTGAATCGCCCACAAAATTCAATCCACACGTGCATGTGTAAGGTAGCTATTGATTACTTTTCATAATCACCATAATGTAGACACCGTACGATTATATTCATTTATCAAGTCAAAACGTAATAATCCATTTAATATTTTTATCCATTTGCTTGCCAAAGTTGCTCATTGTTTGTTAACAACCATTTAGATCGGATAAAATCATAGTTTTTTTGGATAAATATATAGTTATACCAAATGACCAGTTTTTCATTGAGAAAGCAAAATAGCACTTCATAAATACAAATTGTAAATGTACCACATCAGGAAATATTTCATTTATATTTTTTTACAATAATCTTATAATTAATCAATCAAAATAACAAATTACATAAGTGTCCATCATTTGAAAGTGTAGGATTTATATAATTTTTTATAAATTTTATACAATATTAAATTTTAATTAATTAATTGTATTATAATAATTATAAGTGATATATTCCCATCTTTTTTTTTTTTTTTTAATCCGGAGAAGAGAATAGGTTCACAAATTAAGTTGGAGGCACCTTGACCAAATTTACCAAACTGAAAATTGTGGTGTTTTTTTTTTTTTTATGGAATTTGAAAGTCATTAACAGGCATGACAAAACTCAAGTTGGCTTTGGAACGCAACAAAGACAATGAACCATGAATATGAAAGCAACTTAAAGAAAATGTAAGGTTTGGAAACCAAATTGTCAAACCACAACGTTAATAATATATAAAAGAATCTTAATGCAAATAAATAATAATATATTGAACTTAGAAATCTTGGGTCCGCTAAAGTATTAGCCGCCCATTAAGAGAAGGAAAACAAATAACAAAATCTGATCCTAAAAGATACATTACATGGAAAGAAAACACAAATGCAGAAGTATTTGAATGAGATGGATCAACACAGTTTATCAGATATGATTTCACATTATTTAGTCAATTTCTGGAGAACAAAGAAATTAGCTGTTTGTTTCTCATCTATCGCTTTCTCCAGTATTGACGATGGTCACAATGATTCAAAGCAATAAATTTTGGCAAATTGCAATATCACTTGATGACATTTATCGAATCAAAACTCCCAAATATGTAGGTGGAGTGGAAGTGGAAAGTTCAACTTCTTAAGTCGGCAAATCGAAGAGAATTTGTACTTTACAACAAAAACCCTTACAAGGGATGATAATGAGAAACACTAATAATAAAACAACTTTTAATTTAACTCTTCAACATTGTAATTATAAATATAACATCCCAATCGGAATGTTTCGAAATTTTGTTCTAATATATAAATAAATGCTTAAATTCGTATTTGTGAAATTTTTTTATGAGATAAAACCGTGAGACTTTTTAACTAAATCAGACAATACCTCACAAGTTGAGTATGATTTTCACATTTTGTATCAGAATAGTCACCAATCAAATGAAAGCTAAGTATTATACCTTATAAGCCACTTTTAGAATCCTAAGAGAGCTAAGTGCTACATAATAAGAGCTACCTCTAGATTCCTAACATTTGGTGTAATCTTGGTTTTATGATTATATGTGTGTAGTTTTGTGGTTCTGTGTGTGCGGTTTTGTGGTTCTATGCTTTGTGTTAGGCTTGACGGAGACGTCAAGCTTTAAAGAGGAGAATTTGTGACATTTTAATCTCACATTAGGATATTATGAAGATCTACTATGATATATAAGTTGACACTTAAATCCAAATTTGTGAGGTACTTATAAATACCTTATTTAAATTCAAGAACCAAATCAGTTGTGTTTAGACTTGCTCTAAGCCTAATTGTTGAATTTTGTTTTTTTACTATGTATTTTTACTAGTGTTGTATTTATCTATATATACTTATCTCATTTAACTTCTTTATATTTATATTTTTTTTATTTGATTTGATTTTTATCTTGTTTATCCTTTTTAGTTTACTAGTGGTTATCTTTGGCTATTTATTTTCATTTGTCTCATTAAAGTTTTTTCTTTCATTATTTTATTAATAATAAAATAAAAAGAAATTTTTGAAAAAATAAGGATTTGATCTGAATAAAATAACTTATAGATAAAATCATTTGAAATTAAATCTCTTGAACATAAAATTTCCCAAAGATAGTAAAATTTGAAAAGAATTATTTCTTATCTAAATTTCTCTTTGGATTATGATCAAAGTGCTTATAAAATTCACCATAGCTTAGCTTGAAGGGATCATCTCCAATCCACCATAGCTTAACCATATTACAAAACCTCTTATCCTACTACCACTAATTACAAAAGAAAGCTATTAGCTTAAAAACCACTCACTTGTCACTATTAGCCTTTGAACAACCTATCACCATTATTGACCACATCCAAACCACCATAAAAGTTTCTAGAAAGCCACCAACCATTGCTTCATGTGAAACCGATCTCTACCATACTACCGCCACAATTACAAGCACCATATGAGTCCCTAATCTACCACAGCACCGTCAAATAGTTCATCCTTTAAGGCCCAATAATCCATAAATAGAAATCAAACCACATCCTATAGATTACTCATCCTAGCCAATTAACCATTACTACCCTTAACCTTCAAATCACAAGCAATCCAAAGCCATGATCCTACAATCAATTTCACAATCATCTATCAAGCCAACAACCATAAATAGCCTAATTCCCTACAAAACCACCACAATAGATAGAAGCATTACACCCAAATTCCCAAAAAATTCATTCCCAACCACAATCGAACAAGACCAATAATTA